AAGTTACGTCGATATTTCTTCGCTCGACGTTTATAATAACCGCCCGGCTGTCGCCTCTCCTCCCTCCCGGTCACGGATATAGAACAATACCGAAGGCGCCAGTTTATATACACCAGCAACACTTTTATGCTCGAGCGCGCGGCGATGTCAACGTCGTCGAGAGCCCGGTGCTAGCCGGGAGTGGTCTGTATAGGTGCGACAAAGTTTAACGACAAACGAGGTTCATTATACGCGGCCGGGAAAACAAGGCCCAATGTATATACACGGTCGAAGAAAAATATAGCGGCATCGATCGCGCGTAACGATGTATACCCTGGCACCTAGACATTTTGCGGCTTTGCCGCGGCGAAAGTATGTACCTCAAACACACACACACACAAACACACACATACACAACAGTATATACACGACTGTATGGAGCGTCGATATCACAAGCGTTCTATAACTTCCAATTTCGTTTCGACACAACTGAAACTGAAGTGTATATTCCCTAAACGCGACAGATACAAAGACGCGCGTGCCGGTTAGAAGTGATTAATTAATTTAATCACGCCAAAGCGCCGCGAAACGCTGATCAAAGAGAATTATGTAAAATATGGCCAAGATAGCGTGTCACACGCGTAACCTGCTTCAGCGCTCGCATTCACGTAACGTAATGTCGTATACATGCAAGAGAATCAAATTACGAGTACCTTAGGATCACTCCACGTTTACCGCGCTCGAAAACGATGCAAATTTCACCGCATGCGACATTTCCAATATGGATCACGTTGCAAAAAAATGCGCAACGTTGTTCGCTGACGACATTTCACCTCGTCAATTGTCAGAGCCTTGAAATTAGAACGGGGCTATCGAGGATGTACCGGAGGATCCGTAGGTGAAGCGATATGGATAGGTATCCGTTGAATCTATACATCTTTATCTCGGCCGCGATTGCATTGTTAGCATGGAGCGTATTGTTTGAACGTCATATCGGTGCGAGGCCTCGGGCAACCAATCAGCGTTTGCGGTAGCCGTGCCTTATCAAAGATTTCCGCCACCTAGCCGCAGGGCTTAAATCAACCTATCCAACGACGACCCTTTCTCCAGTTTGCGGAACTCCGTCGCGAGAAGCAACGAAACTAGCGTACTCGCAATAAGAGATCAACCCTAATTGCCAGACTTCGAACGGGAACTCCCGTGTAATGAGCGAGCGCGCAATATCGTCGTCCAGGATCTTCGAGCTTATCGATCCGTTACGTTGCGACGGCACGTGGAAAAATTAGGGAAAGCGGCTCGCGATAACGCGCATAATTATCGTCGCGCTCAAAGACTCGTGTGTAAACTCGCGACAATTTATAACAATTTAATTATCCGCGTGCGATACACGCGCGCGTTACATTAATTAATATTCATCGATAATGGAATACTAGACAACACGTCCGTCGCGATATAACCGTGCGCTCATCAAGTAATAATAAGCAACGGTAATTACCCGTTAATTGGATGACGCCGCGTTTTAATAACCATTTCGCAATATGGAGACGCGCGCGATGCATCGGGTGACAGATCGTTGCGTGAAAATCCTCTAGGGTGTTCCTAAATAATTAGCATAAACGCGAGCATGCGGAAATTCCATTTTATCCTTAAAAAGTAAGAAAAAAAAAAGAGAGAGGACGCGACTCTCTTTGACTTGCGGAATTGTATTATTCTTCCGTTGCATACATCAGCGTGTTATTGCACTTGCAATTATACCCGCTTTCTCGGGAACGCTTTCCCGGCGACTTTAACGTAAATCTCTCGTCACGTCGTCTTTAATGTCATATCCGGCGGTCGCCTCGTCAACGAACGTTCGGTAAATTGGTGACGTAATTACGGATCTCTGCTTGCTCACGAGCTTACCTGTCTCATGGAATTGCTCGTAATGGTCGATCGGACCCCCGTATCGTTCCACCGACGGAAGTACGTATAGGGAAACACGTATATACGAGTACGTTCAACGTCCTACTACAGCTGTCTAACATCCGCCGGCGTGTGTGCAACTACGCTCCAAGTGACGCGCGTATTCATGTGCGCATTGGACGCCCGCGGAGAAGAGCAAGTAGCGAGGAGATAAAGTAGAGATGAGTTTGAATTTGGTCCCTCGTGCGCGCCTCGTTAATTTTTCGCTCCGTGTCGTTGCATTGTTTGCTCGGGTGAAAGGTGTTTATTGCCCGCAACTCGAGACGAGAGAACTATCGTGCCGCTTGTACATGTTGTTTACGCGAGTGTGTGAGAGAGAGCGAACGAACGCGACCCTGGCTGCCGCATCCCCATTTTAATGATTTCGATCTAACGAGCGCGTCTAAGTTACGCGCACCTCTCGAGAGAAGACTTGCTTGGAGCGACTCGTGGAACAATAACCGGTTCGTTAAAAGATCAAAAATGTAAGCATCAACTCGGTCAATACGGCCTATTTTATCAATTGTTCGAAAAATTTTATATTTTTTTATATTCGATAAAGTGACATATAGTTCTATAATAATAAAAAAAGTTAGTGGAAAAAAGGGCTATAAGAATCAAATTGCGAATAATGATAGCGCAAAAAATTATATTATCAATCAATACAAAGTAGTGATACCAATATCGAAACATTTTAGCCTAATTTTGGATTCTTTCCTGAGTCTAATAGAATTGTAATCAGTGACTGTTGCACGTTGTTTACGCGTGATCATCATACCAATTACAATTCTACTCAAATTAATTAATAATCAATTTTCTTGCGATATCCAAACTTTGGTTCTTATAGCTATTTTTCTATTAACTTTTTTTTTTATATTCGATCCTTTAAATATAGCAATATATAAAGAAAAGCATATCATTTTGATCTATAGTTAAGATTGTAAAGAAATATGAAACTTTAATTAAAATTAAAATATTTTTGTATGCTTTTCGCAATTAAATTATTTGATTTTATTTCCAGATAAACAGGAAATTACATTTTTTGTCAAGCGTTTCTTATTTTTTAATACCTTTCTTTCGCGACGTTTCTAGGAAGATCGTACACTTTTAGAGACGGTATCGCTTTCGATCGGTATCAAAGCTGAAAGCGAGTAATGTAGGTCGATTGGAACGGCCGGACTATTTTTGTATTTTTGCTCTCGTCGGAGAGAGCAAGGAAGCGGATCAGCGAGCAATCATACTTGAATAGGCGCGCACGAAAGGCCCGGTATGCGTACCCAGCGCGCGTACAAGCGCGGACACGCGTTGATTCGAGATCATTGTGCCGTGTCCTACGACAATTGAATCCCGACGAGCCTCAAATTTTGTATGCCATCGCGCAAATTCCCCCTCGAACATGCCGACGATTCAAATGGAGGAAGAGGATCAGACGAGAGAGAGTGCTCCATTTCTTTCTTCTCACGCAAAAACGGCATCGTGTCACACAAAACTCGATTTTTACAATAAACTAAAAAAGAAAACAAGGCAACCATCGTGACAATCAACGGAAAACCACGTTTCAAGGCTTTCGCACAAATCTCCAAATTTAACTTTCAGATTTCACGCACCCACATCGAATTCTCTCGTGTATATTTTTATATACTATATCGTATAGATAATAATACCGCGGCTGTGAAATGCAAATCTGTCGTGATTCGAGACCGTATCTGCAGATAAGCAAGCAGCGGATAATTTTTAAAAGGCGCGCACGTAATGAAACCTGAAGCCTGAAGCACGATTGCGCCAAGAATCTATGTCAAATAAGTCTAACTCAAGGATAAATTTCTGGGTTACACAGTTCCGCTCGCGATATAAATGTAAGAAAGAAACTTCGGTTAAACGGAATTACCGTCAATCAATGTTGCTAAAAAATAACTTTAAACATGTGCATCACACATGTGCCGCGTTTAAATCGTATTTTCGATATCTGTTCATGTAACATTATCGCACAAACTGTGTCACGAGAAAAATAGGAAAACTCTTGACTGTTTTATATCATTTCCTACGATTTGTCCACACATATTCTTCCATTGTTTTTTCTACAATGGTATTTATTGAATATTCTTAAAAGCTAGTGCAATGCATTCAAAAAATACCGCAGATATATTTCATTTAGACACTACTACTGTGGTAATACAAACAACGCGCAACGCGAATCCATCAAACGCGCTATCGCCATAATTCAACCGTGTATTTCGACCATATCTCTGAATTATTTCACGTTTCGTGCGGCTCGTAATAATAAAATAAAAAATAAAAAAAAAGGGGCGCAAAAACCAAAAGCAAATGGATAAATTGTAACCGTTATGAAACGGGTCATTCTGTATATTTTAAAGCACGACAAATATGTATAAATACATTTGTTCTTCGTATCCTGAAAGTTGTTTAGTAAATAACAAAGCGACGCTTCGTGCGTTACATAATTTAAATATTTTTATCACAATTCTTTTATATGCGATCACAACATTGTTGAGACTTTAAATTTGTTAGGCGCGCACAATTTTTTTGATAAAATATTTTTTATCAAAATATAATAAGCAAATTTCGTTTTTTGAATAATCTTATCGATACTAAAAAAAAAGTAAAACTTGGCAAAACTTTGCCCTTTTCCTATATCGTTAAATTAATCGCTCGATTGCATAGAAGCAAATGACGTGAAATTAATCAGATACAAATAAAGAGTTCATCTACTTTTTATTCCAATATCAATATATTATTATAAACGGTTGAATTATGATCAAGATAGCGAAATTGGACGATGCCGGAAAATGAAGGTTTGACCTAAAAAGCCTGCAAATGTCAAAAACAAAAATCTCAAGCTGCTTTCGCAAGCCACATTTAATTTAAAAAATTATGAAATAAATATCCTCTTTTTACGCGGTTTATAAATTATAATTGCAAAAATGGTACTTTACATATGTACAGACCGTTTTTAACGCTGGTATAAGTTTTCAAAGTACATCGCTCACAGACTTTTTACGGCAAATCTTCACGCTATCATCACTACTATTATGATTTAAAGACTTGACAGAAGGACTCACCATTAATTGCAGCCAAAGCGACGGCGCCGAGCAGCCATGCGACGACGCTAACGGCGGACATCTTCGTTTCCCTCTCGTCGCGGCTTTCTCCTCACATAATACGCGCCTTCCGTGCGTTAGAACGAACTGCAATCAAAAAGATGCATTACGTTAAACCGCGTGTGCATGGTGTCAAAAGATATTACAAGTTCAGTCGCGCGTTTATCTTACAAAGGCGATGCTTTCGTAAGCACTAGGCTAAGTGCTGCGCGCTGGCGCTGCCGTTGTCGGAATACCAGAGAGGAAAGCCGAGGAAACCATTGTGTTAGCGTCGAAATTTGTTACCCGTAATCTCGCACGTTGCAAGCATCACGTTATCGGCAACATCGGATATCCACGTAGTAATAATTACTTGATCACACGCGCTAAAAATGTTGTAGCAAATTCTCGACGGAAAGCACAGATAATTTCACTTCGTGTATTTTACGCAACGCTATATATAAGTAGTAGCTCAAAATTAAGATAACATTTACTTTTTAAATATATAGATTCTATTGCTGCATGCTTAAAAAAAGTAGTAGCCTTCCCTGTTACGTCCTATTTAACGCTTTTTCTTTCCGCGATATCACCAAACAAAGGAATATAAAAAAAAAAGGAAAAAGAGAAAACGGAAACCAAATGTCGGATGGATATTTTAGACTAGGAGTAATATCTCATTGAACACTCCGGTGATAGCAACACTCGTCTGGGGTGTCTAGATAAATTCAAAAACGGAAGGAAACAGGAAACAGTTTCGTTATTTCCGACGCTTGATTTTCGTTATCACATCGATCATTATCACATTCGAAACGGAAAACAATCTCATCACACCCAACACTTTTGAAATGTTTCATCATATTCAAAACAGAAAGAAAACTCTGAATCAAATAGATAAGTCGCGGAATCGCACTAACAATAACTTTTTCTTGGAACTATTAAATAAATTTGATACTACCACTTTTGGGACAAACAATCGGCGACTTAGTTTCCGATTCGTGAAAAATCCTTCCGATATGTAACTTTTTTTTATTCCATTTATAAAAGAGAAAGTATCTCTCTGCGATATATTTTTCGAAATGATATTTTATTTACCAACAAGAGAGGGCAACTTGTAACTCGCAGCTGTAAAATATTTTTTTCCCTTCGACCATCTGCAGTAACGTGAAAAAACAAGATAAACGTGTCATATTCTTGTAACGGAAACGAGTATTCATTCGTCGGTTATTATAGCGGTATTGGTTGTTATACTTCCGCGCAATTTTTTTGTCGCAAGAAAATTCATTCTGAGAGAAAAATAGAAATGCTCGGAACGGCAGTTAACGATTTGAGGACTTCCATCGCATATACGACATAGTGCAGGTTGAAAAGTTAGACGTAAAAAGAATTTACAACGACGATTCTACTTATTCATACCAAGAACAATTTCATATAATGCTCTCTAACGCAATCGATGCCATTTGCAATGTGTTACGTTCGCAGAAACGAGAATCACGAAAAGATATACAAGATTTTCCTGAATTTCTCACACTATCGTTCATAAGTCTTGAACAATGTAGAGCTTCTCTCAAATAAAATTTGACTTAAACCCATAAATCTTTACAATACAGATGTATTTCTCAAAAGCGCAATAGAGCTTCAGATTTACTTAGATTTTCAATCTCTTTCGAGCACTATCGGTGTAAGTTTTATTAATGGAGAATCTACCTTAAAGCAAAATTCGCATTATCGAAATGACATTAGAATAAAATATCATTTCTACATTTTACGGAAAAATCTACTCGGAATAGCGTAAGAGTCCATATACGAGGAAATGTATGGGAAACCTGGAAACACCCTGTACGGTCGCACGCGGTCTACTGGGAATTTTATCCGAGAATTTCCCGGAACATGCGGATGATTTCCTCGAGCGTCCGCGCTCTCTGCCCCGCGAGATGGTCCCGGGAAGCTGCTCATTCGTCACGTCAAGATAGCGTCATTCTCGGACGGATCCGTGGAAGGCGCGACATTCACCTCTTCTTACGCCGGTATAACTGCTAGCGAAATGGCCCGCCGTCTCGCTTCCCCTCTCGAATCACCATTCACTGCGACGTAGTCTATTTATACAAATCATGTGTGATACCCTCCGCGTTAAAATATAATCATCCCGCCGCACATTCTTTCTCCTCTGTTCATTTCTATAAATATTTCATGTACTATAAAAAAAAAATCTACACAATGCGAGACTCAAACTACTCATTTATCACATTACAATTCCAAAATTTACAAGCGTATTATATAACCAATTTAAAATAAATTGTTTTTAAAAGTTCTTTTTCTGAAAATTAAATTAGCACATCTTTTTCATATTATAATTTTACAACGTTTACTCTTCGCGACTAAATATTTTATTTAAGAAGATTTTGAAGACCGCACAGGTTTGAGTCTTATAGCGGGAAAAATTCGAACAATACGGGAAGATTAATTCTATGAAAGACTATCTGTATCTGTTGTCTAACGCTTGAACGGACACAGTGCCAAATAAACGATTCTTCTTTTTCTTCTTTCTCCAGCCTCCCCCTCCCCTTCCTATTCTTCTCTCTCATTTCTTTCTCCGTGTGTGTCCAGCGAGAGCAACGAGAGTAAAACAAGTATCTATCACTCTATCCGCACCGGCTGCTGCTCTCGCAGCTTCCACACAAACCAGGCAACCCTTCAGACGCACGTTTCCCGCTGGTTCTTCGCTCCTTTCATCCCGGTCTGCTTTTACTTTATGCACCGGTTGTGCGCCCGTGGACTTTATACCGTCGTACATCGTGTGCTTCGAAAACCTGAAATTCCGCTTTTGCTACGGTTTCGCCACGAGACGCCACAAACCATACGTTTCGCGCAGAAATTCGGCGCGCCTTCACGCCGCGCGCATAACCTAATATGAATAATACAAAATGAATTTTTCGCAGCAGCTCCGACTCGTAATAAAGTTACGATATCCCGTCTCGCGTTCGCATATTTTATCGTACTTCATAATCCTATACGACGGGCTCATACATATTCCTTCGCGCGATGAGAATATAAAAATAACATATCTATATATATATATATATATATAAATTAAATATTCAAAAATCTTGCCGAGAAATGTCACATATATGCTTAGACTGTATTAATCGTATATATATCTTTTATGATGTATTTTATGATCCCGAATCGCTCTTCTCTTTCTCTCATAATAAATATATACTATAAAACCTTTCCGTTACACGCTGCAAGATCAGTGCGATAGTTTAAAAGTACAATGGATGACACAGAATCGTATTTTGCCGCGTTTTTCAGCAAATAGGAAAGAAACGTGCAATTGTCATGATGGTCTTGATTAGGCTACGACAAGAGACAATAGCGAGGGAAGGCAACAACTGTTGCTTCATTTGAGCACGGCAAAACACGCGCGCGCATATAATGCTCATAAAATATGAAATTGCATCCGGCGTATTTTTCAAGATAAAAGACTAAGCGCACTTTTGCGAGTGCACGCGATGCACCTGTACCGGTAAAGCATCAAGCTAGAACGCCGTGGAGCTTTCGTTTATGCGCAGTCGGACGATAAGATCTTTTTATTTGTATCACCTGCAGTGTCCACACTGCAGAAACGAAAGCGTGCGCGGAGCTCGCTGAGCCGAAGATAAGGATAATAGTATTTTAAAGAAAATTGTTCAGCAGATAAGAGAATTTATAAGAAAATTTAAAAGAGTATTAATTACGATGATTATATATTTTTAAGAATGTAAATTTGAAAGAAAATTGAAAAAAAGCGTTGATATTCGAAAACGGAAAACGTTCTTCCGTAAAAGTTTCTATTCATTCAACTTTCTATTCAGTAAATTATACATCTGAACGTTACCTCATCGGACAAATTATAATCAATTATAAAAAGAGCAAATTATTTAAAGCGCTGAGAGAAATAATGATATATAGGTCAGTAAATATAAATGTTTGACATACACTCTCTTTCGTGCTCATATAATTAATTTCTGGATTAATCTTAAATTCTACCAACGGCTCATTATATCGAGACACATTTAATCTCTCGCGGGCGAACCGGTCGCGATTGCTGTGCACGCGGCGCACAATGATGATATCGAACAACAGGATTACGCGTATTAGAGCCGCGCAACTTTGTCAACTTCCGCGATGCGACAGTTCTCATCTCCATAATTTAAAACGAAAAGTTAAATTAGCCCCTTTTCCTGTCCCTTCTAAACCGGACAAACAATTTTCAACGTTCGGCGTAACCCGCGGACCGACTAAATGTGCGTGCGCGCGCGGTAAATAACACACTCGTAATTAGATGCCACCACGAAAACGTTATTTTTCAGAGCGTTTTTCGGTGCGCGACAGCTCGCGCCGTATCTCGCCGAGGCGATCCGATCGCGCGCCCGCTTTCACGAGACGCATCGGACGGATAGGCCCTCTAATGTTTATTTACACAGCTCAAACACATTTTTCACTCTCTGCGGCTTGCGGCGCGCGGACGGGCGAACAATATTATTGGCCGCCACGTAACCGGCATCCACGACCATTAACGTCATTACAGCTACGTGCAATAACGACGGGACTAGGATCGCTATCGCCTAGCTGCACGAGATGTTGTTGATCGATCATTTTGTAAGCACCGGAGCGCAGGGCCAAGCACAGAGCGCGGGATACCGATCTCGCGACAAACCGGGACGGACAACCGGTAATAACTCAATGTAAACGCGCATGAATACTATTAATGTAAGACCCGAAGGGAAGCACAACCGTGTACGTATGTATCGTAAACGTATGATTGAATAAGGTACGCGCGTACACGAGGGTGCGAATGTACAGCGCGAAAGCATATTTCGCGGGGCTTATCTGATGCACGTTGATGGACTGAAGTGTGTAAAGACCAGAGAGTGAAATGCACGGCGATCGCAACGGACAGATCGGACGACACGAAGAATCGCTTCGCGGAAAGCGCACCTCGCGAAAGTAGAAAGTCGCGCGTCTTCGGATTGTCTTTGGAACAATACAGTGGGGCGAAATTTTGGCAACGTAGTTTCGCCACTGAAACAAAACGTCCCGGCGTTTATTTATGCGAAGCCAACATGCCGCGAAACAACTCGCCACATCTCTACGTTACGTAAATAAGATACTCCGGATACTGTCCGTGTAGTTCGTTGTTTGTTATCTTACGAACGTTTGCGGATGCTTATAAAATGGAGATAATTAACGCAGCGTCTAGAGATAATTAACGCAGCATCTAGAGATAGTCGGCGCACCAATTCGCAGTTATCTCGGGCCTTTTGTCTCAGACGATGCGCCGCACCTTTCCATGCACCAAAAACGCATTAAGATAATACTACGTGATACGAAGATTCGCGCAACTTCTCGCATAACTTTGCACAATGCAATTTCTGGATATATTTTACACTACAAATTCGTGTATGATATTTTTGAACGCAAAGAATTTTGCAAACAGTTCGCGCCGCGCTAAAATTTTTAACCGCAAAAACCTCTCTAATTCTTGTTTTTTAGATATGATTGAAACGTGCGCATCAATATTGATCAGTTTTTTTTTTCAACTTTGACGCATTTGATATACAAAAAAGTTTATATGCGACAGGAGTGCGTCTAACATCCGCACGGTTATTCGATTAAGTGTATTGTATTCAATCTCGCTTATCTCGAATTATATTTTTAGCTCTAATCCAGCTTGAAAGCTTTCACAGAATTTTGCATTTTTCATAAGAGACGTTATGTTGACAGTCCTGTTACGAAAGGCAAACATTATGCACCACGGAACGGCACTCCATTTGATGCGAATAAATCGAGCACTTACTTGAAATTAATGGAATTATGATCGCGCGTTCGATCGATGTAATTAGCTGTGACCAATATTTGATGAGTCTAAGGTACATACTCGTGCGAGCTAATAACTAAATATCGCATTGAAGCTTTCGACGCTGCAATGCGACGAAAAACAAAGGCAAATCCATGAAAGCTCGACAATATCAGGTATTATGTATAGTTGCATGTTTAGCAGTTAGTTGTGTTTAATTATAGCTTATGATTAATTAAACGTATTTTGTTTAATTAGTTTATTTCGAAAGTCATGTAAATGTCAGTTTGAGACAACTGATAACATTGATAAATTACTCCAATTTATATCTGCATTTCATCGAAACTGACAATGCAAATTACTGATTTATGTCAATTTGAATAGATACATCGTATGCATTGTAATGTATTTAGTATTCCGATTGTATACCCGGTAAGAAAGGACGTTAAGCCATTCAAAAATTCATCGCATCGCCTACCTGTCGCTAATCGCCGAGAATCGTCCTACTTTGACATCGTCGCCGGAAACACGTCGGGTATAAAATCCCCGCACTCTCGCTCGCTTTCTCCGCTTGTCCCTCGCTTCCAAACGGCGGCTCGCACGACGCGTCACTCGCGAGAGAACATTCGGAACGGGCGAAAGTGTCGTCGTTGAAACCGTCGCGATCACTACGCGAGCCAGCGCGACGGAAGAAAAAGCTCGTCCATGACGACGGGAGCGGGCTCGAGGAGCTCGCGACACGTCGCACCGAACTGTAGCACCGAAATTACGGACGCGATATACGAGCCACCGGCGCTCGCGTCCTCTTGATATCACCCTTTTCACCCGACCGTCGTCACCACTCTCGTTTCCCGGCGCGGCTAATTAATCCCGAATACGAGGCGCGCGCGATAATAGGAATCCGGGCGAGTTTTAATTAAAACTCGGGCCTCTCATAGCCCCATCGCTCGCATGACGCACTTGACCTTCCTCGCGGGAAGTTTAATTGAATCTTCGTCGGTGGCGAGGCGCGACGATTACGCGTACGCGCGTGGATTAAGCGGTCTCGCATGTTCGCCGTTGTCGCGGGTGCGTGCCACACTCGGTAGGCGCCGTGCCGTTGATATCCACCATATCGCTGTTTGTATCGCGGTACCAGCTGATCCACCGAAGCCCCGTCAGCCGGTCCAGCCACCGCGAGCCTTTATCACCGAGTCTGGTCACGGTCCGCCGCGCCGTCCGCGACCACTGCACCGCGTCTGACGCTAACTGACCTGTACTACTGTCGCCTTCGTTGCGGTCTGTCACTACTCGTCGCTCGCAACTGTCTTTCACCGCTGTGTTTTCGGTACCGTTCTCTAATATTGTCCGCGCACTGTCTCAGCACGTTTCTGACAACTCGTCGTTGTCGTCGTCGTCGTCGTCGTCGTCACCCCTCGTTCGTAATCCCGCGGCACTTGACGCGCGTTTAATCAGTCGGATCGTCACTCGAACGTGTCACTGTTCACCCTCGATAATCAGCATTCCGACGGCTGACATTCACCTGCGAATCTCGCGGACATTCGCGGACGAGTGAGCGGGTGCGTTGCGGGTTTATCAGCGCGTTTATCTGGTATCATCGACGGATAACGATCAAAGATGAATACGGGCGCAATTCACTCATAGCGGCGTTTAGTCCCGCCGCTCGCTGGAATCGCGCGATGATATCCGCACGCAAGAAATGCGCGCGCGCGCGTGTATGAATTATGTGTGTGTGAGTGTGTATGTGTGTGCGCGCACCCGTGGGATCCAGGTCCGACCGTGGCGCGGTGCGATGAAGAACTGACGTCCTGACGGGCTGCAGCGCCCCGACGACGGGCGTCCGGCGAACCATCCGCCGTGAAGCGAGCGGCGGGAGATACGCCACCCCATTCCACCCCCACCCTCCTTTCCACCACCATCACGCTGCAACCCCCGATCCGCGCTATCCGCCAACCTCCGTGCGCGAGCGGCACGGTCCTCTGCTTTTACTCGTGCCACCTTGTCGTCGAGAGGGCACCGTCGTACGCGCCGCCACGCGAAATTGCACGAAATTTTCGAAAGTGCACCGCTCCTCGTGGTATCGTAAACGAATTTTTCCGGGAATCGCGCTGGCTTTTGCAGAAACGAAAATTCGCCAGAGATTTTGGAAATCCGTCACTGAAAAGCATCGCTTATTGGCAAAATATTTGCTTCATGTGTAACCTTTGATATTAGAATTTTTATATATACCTTTTATAATTAAATATTATTTTCGTTAAATTTTTCATTAAAATAAAAAATTTATCGATGTTAAAATTATTCAATTGCACTAAAAACTTTTCTTCTACATAAAAACGTTTGGAAGTGTACGTTCAACAGAAACGAAAGCAGAGTACATATACGGGACACTTGAAGTCCTGCTAATTAAACTAAAAAAGTAGTCCATCATGACTCTCGTAGGCAATCGATCGACGCTTCAAATATCCCGCAGAAACAGTGCACGCGGAATTGAATCTCCAATTTAATCATTTCCGGTTAGATATTGCTCGCGATACTTTACTCATTTAATGTTCATGTTATGTAAAACAAATACCAAACAACTTGAAAATTATCAAAAAATGTGTCTGTATCAATTATAAATATATGAGTGAATGTAGTATGAAATAATTTTCGTACTATATTCACGAATATATAATTTAATCTTTAATTATAATAATTTCACGAATTATTTACAAATTATTTACGTATTATATGTTCGTACACGACGTGCTGGATGTTTAAAATTGGCAAATGGGCGATCCGAAAGCACGAGAAGAGAAGGTTCACGTAATTTCTTAATCAATATGGCCTAAATCATTCTTATGACAGAATAAGGCTCGCGTTCCGAGCTGCGTGTTTTTCAAGACTTGCATGCATTTGCGAACGTTACGTGATTCGCGGAGGCCACGTAATAAACGGTCTTACATCATTCTAGATTGGATACGGTATGAACCTAAAATTCTGATTTCCAATCCGTGCGAGGATCGCTTTATTCCTCAATTATTACAAGGATACGTACGACGATACGTAAAAAGAAAAAAAAATTGCACATTACATACATACATATGGCATCAAATTCTTGACAATTTTCATTTTACATCGTCAAACACACACGAATAAAGCTGACTCAGCGCTTGCCGATCGTTCTGCAATCTTGTTTTAAGCTATATTATTAATTAAAGGAATTAACTTTGGTGTAGCGTATATGGAGCTCGTGGAAAGGAAGGTCGAACGCTTATATCATAGTCTAATTTCCAATTAAGGCGTTATTAATACCAGCGCCAGTGGGCGTTATACCGCTTGGATTATATTACGATTTAGAATCCGCATGTGAAAGGCTAGTTCTCGCGTTTGAGTTTTTGTTTTAGTTGTATTACATTAATTAATATAGACGAAATTTATCAAAAATAATATACGCCCGCAATTACTAAAACTTAATCACAGAAGAATATCATCTGTTTCAATATTGAAAGACTATTTTATAATTATATTTTATAATTATAGACAATTTAAATTTTCATAATTTATAAAATATTATAAAAATTATTTTTCGATAACTTAAACAGTAATTTAGAAACGGGTTATAAAAAAATTAACATTTTAAAAAATCGGAAAAAATGTAATATTTAATCAATTTTTGGCTAAATAAGAAAAAAATATTGACTTCAAATTCAGGAATATTTTACAACCACCAGAAAACGTATAATTTTTTTGTATACTCTATATTTAAACTTATTTAATTTTAACCACTTGAAACGTAAAATATGTTACCTATTCAATAGCTATTGTATCAGTAAAATTTGTATTAAATTTAACATATACCACATGACTTAAATATTCCATTCAGATTTTCCTCTAAATATTATACATCTAGCGTTTGTAATATAATTCGCATTTATAATTGTGTGAAAAAAATAATTATGCACATATATACGAGAAAATGAGGCACAATTAAAATTCAACGTACATTTTTTTACGTATAAGCGCAGCTTGAAGCAAATGAAAACCTTTGGTTGAAATAATGATATATTTTCATTATTTTTAAACACAAAATTAATTACTTTTAAGAACACTAGTTAATATTTCTAGAAAACCTAATATCCAAAATTAATGTATAAATCTCAGCGACAATCAAATATCGTTTTAAGAAGATCAACGAAAAAATAATCATAAAAATACTAAGTTGTAGAAAAGTAATTTTGTTTTCGAAACTAGGATTTAAAAAATTAAAAGCTAGGCATTATTATTTCTTATAAATTTATACAATAATGATTTCCAATGTATGATTCACTATCTAGAAAACGTATAATAAAATTCAACGCAAATGTAATATTTTAAGAGAGAAAGACGTCTGATAAAATATTTTCAATTGATTATTCTTTACGAGTGCCACAACTTGTTTGAAAAATATTTGCGATGATATATTTGGAAGTAAAGTGGTAATAAAAAAATGAACATTCTAGCTTCGATTTAAAAAGTTTCATTTTGGCGTTCTGATTTAATTAATAAACTCTGTTCTGGCAGACCGCCAGTTGTTTTAAAGCAAATAGTGATAGAAAATTCACGACTAATATTCCGAGAAATAAAAGAAAGAATAAATGTCGATCGTTTAGCAATTTTAAATCATTTACATGAGTTTTTAATCAAAATAACAGAATCGCTCTTTTACCAATCCAGTAAATCGGGAATGTATTCTAACCAGAATACATCTCTGTCATTAAAATAAGGATCGCAGATTTCGGGGCACTGCACATTTTCGTATGTTATTTCCGCCGACTTATGCCACGAGTAAGACACACGGACACGGACATTTCGCGCCGCAACCTTTGGGACGGTTGAAAGGCGCGAGGGATAGAGGTAGGTAGGTGGGTCGTTTCACACAGCAGCGCCTCGCTTAATTACTAGTTACTAGTAACAGGAGTTAGGAGCGTTTAGCTCACAGTTCACGCTATCCAGCAAAAGCTTATAACGTTACGAACTATTCCCATTGCTACCCCAGATTCAACAACGAGGCTTCACCCGGTACCCGGATTCATATTACTTCGGAATCATATCAAATACGGAAATGAGTCCGCGAGTTCGTAGTTCGCGAACTGCAGTTGGCTCGGTTTACAATATAATTAATCTCGTGACTGGCCGATATGAGTTAGCGAGCTAAATATAATATCGGTGTCTGCAACTCATTATCCACGTAAATGGTGAAAAAAATTCTAGCAATTTAATTGTATATTTCACGTGTATAAAAATCGAGACAATGTAAATTCAATTACTGGAGGAAAAAAAAGGTATATTTTCAATTGTTTTTTGATTCCTTTAAAACAATACAATTGGTTAATACAATTGGTTAATACAATTTATTGCACACCGCTGCAACTTTATTTACTGTGGTCATTTTCAGTTTGTAACGTGTTTCTGAGCCATAAATCTCATATTTCTTGAATCGCCGACGGAAAATTCATGAACAATAAATTGGAGTTTCGACAACGTGATTCAACGATACCGAAAACAAACGCCCGCACGCAAATCAAAGTTACGTTTTTAAAAATCCTACATAGTATTCGCGATATCGATTTACCAAACACCGTGGAACTTTACAGTTTTGACATTTGCACGACGAATGAAACTAATCAAACATTCCATTCGATACAGTGCAATGCAGTCACACTATCCATAACCATTTTGTCCGACTTAAACCATCTCGATTAAATATGAGATTGACTGCATACTGTATAAGTCTTCCAAAAAAAGATATATATCTATTCAATTCAAAAATGTTATTATAACAATACATATATTGATAAAAGAACAATATTATTATTCAAAATAATAAATATTATTTTAGTCCACTTAAGTTTATTACCGAATATAATAAAAATTTTAATCTTATTCCATTTAAAGTGATTACTTTATATATACAATAAAAGCTAAAAATTTTTAATTATTTTCAGAAGTGCTGCTTAATATTTTTCCATATTTTTAATACTTGGAAAAATATATGGAGAAAAAGAATATTACAATGTTTTCTCTGCATTTAGAGATAATTTAAAAGCAAAAAGTCAGGAAGAAAGGTCAACTGAGATACGTGATACAAGTATAATAAAGTTATCAAGAAATATCGAATGTATTCTCCGTGTCAGCTTTAGGGTGAAAAAAGCTCGTGTAAGCAAGGGCGGCAATTTGGGCAGCGGACATCCCTTGTCGCCTTTGGCAAGGCTTCCGGACCCGGCCATCCCGTGCCGCTGAACACAGCGTTCTCGGTCGGCTGTATCCACACGCGTGCTGGTTACATTGGGCTTTGCACTGCCGATGCGTGCATGTAGATCGAAGGGAATGACGATACTACGTACACTAGAGCGGTTAGATCTAGTTGGCATCCGTTAGCCGTAGCCCATACACACGCAGATTGGATCGGACATTGCACGCCGTCAGCTCAGCTTCTGAACAGGGAAACTGCGTTCGCTGCAGCTATACCTATCCAATAGGATACGGACTAACGCGACCGCGCGTACATTTAGGTTATCGAGTTGTAATGTACGATACGAGAAAGGCAATCTGGGCACCGCCGTCCTGACGGGATGGTCGTTGAAACTTGTGTTCCATTGTGGTGGCTAATCCAGCGTATACGTGTCGCGTACGCGCGATTTCAAGTTTCGTGGCGCGATAAAAGCAGCAGATATTTAACGCCGGATCATCTGTTGACGTTATAGCCGGATAACACGCACGACGGTAACAGCAAAGGGAAACATCGTGCGCCGCTCC